TATATATATATATAAACATTAATTGTTTCAATAAAATGTCAAAAAATTAAAATTTTACGCTTTACCTATCGGTTTTTCTTCTTCTGTTGCGGGGAAATATCTGTCAATGAGTTTATCAACGACAACAGCCGTGTTATCTATACCTCTCACGGCCACACTGCCATAGCGTGTATCGAGTATTTGATTGGCCGTATTCCAGCTGATGTCTCGCAAATTTGTCGCTTGTTCAAGAATCAAATCGTTTACATGCGAAATTCTTGATACCGCCTTCTCTAAAATCTAAGAAAAAAAATATATCCAATATATGTTATTGTAATTATTTTTTTAATTTCAACTTTTAATTTATTAAAAAATACAAACTGAACATGTTGTAATAAATTAATGTTTATTAATTATAATTATATGATAGAAAAAGGTTCTATCACAAACCTGTGCGGGTTTCTCCTTCATCAACGGTACTTTTTCTTCAATTTTATCAAGACCAAGGCATAACGTATTATCAACGAAATTGATGGGAGTCTCAAGTCTTTTCGCAATGGGTACGGCGATGGGCATCGCTTGTCTTGTCGCGGTGCTTAGTGAGAATTCGGCCGTGCTCAAAGCCCAATTCATCAATTGATACGAACTCTTCACTTTGGAATACGTTTCTGCGGATTTGACGACCGCTAACTCAACAATGGGTAATTCCATTACGCGATCGAAGACCTTTAAATGGGGAAGTTGCGCCACTTCCGTCGCCATACTTTCAAACAAGTTTCTCACGTGTACGTCGAAAATATAATATCTGTTTAAATAAAAATATACATTATAAGAGTGATTTAATTTGCTTAAAATTTCTAAAGAATTATAATTTTATTAAAACTATATTTAAACACATACATAAAAAAATATAACAAATTATTTTAAAACAAACTAAAAACTTGACAAAATCGATTTATTTAGACATTATTGAAAATAATTATTGATATTCTTATGGCGCATTTAATGAATAAATAAATAATCTTTACATTAAATTTTCTAAAACTTCTCAATAAAAGTATTTCTCACATCCATACATTTTTACATTAAACACAATTTTAAATTAAATTCTAAATTAGTTTGTCAAAGCATAAAGTTTTAAATCATTCAATTTATCAAGTCACTCTGCAAAATATTGAAAGAGAAATTCTAGACGTCGTTCTTCATGACGATAAATAAAGACATAAATAATATCTTTGAATACTGATACCATAATATTTTCCAGTTTGGCAAAATCCTTGAGAAATCGATAGAATCTAGATATTTACGACAATTATATAAATTGTCGAATTAATCAATTATTTTTATTAATTGTCAAATAATTGTATAATATTAATAATAATTGTATAATATTATTTAAACAATCTCAATGCGCTTTATTGTGACAAAAATTAAATAATAATAAATGATTTATTAAGACCGTATATGTAAATACACAACTTAATTAAACTCAAAAGAAAATGAAAAACTTTCTTGATTAAATTTTCAATTAAATAAACTTTACAACTCCAAAATTGAAGAAATAATATATTTAAAAATTATTGATAACTTCATGTAATGTACTATATAATGATATAACTTTTACAAGTCATGCAAGAATTCTCGAAAATATATAAGTACATGTAACAATAAATGTTGTGAAACAACCACTTTCGCAACTTTCAATTAACATTTTTTAAATAGTCATTTTTTAAATATAACAGTGTCATTTTTTAAATAGTCTTTTTTAAATAGTCATTTTTTAAATATAGCATTGTAGAATGAAGCTTCAATCTATTCTCATTCGGAGATAAAATTTTAATAAACAAGAATTAAATATTATTATGTATTTTATCATAAAATGGTACTTACGGTATTGAATTACACGCAGATCAGCAGATATTCTCCGGTGTAACTCCCGAACGCGTCTGATACCTCAGCACGAATGCTGACTCCAGTCACGCACGTTGAATACTTATAACATGGAAAACCGCCTGCGCAGTAAACGCAGTTTGAATAAGCCACTGACTGAAGTACGACATCTGTTAACTGTGGTTAGCAGATACAAAAACATTCTCATAGTTAGATCCTTAAGTACTTGTTGCTTATTCCACAAGCGAAACTGTTTTTAAGATAAATTTTCAAAAATTAATAAAAAATATATGCACATATATGCATAAACATTGATTTTTTATTTATTTCTTAATTTTTGTTTATTTTTTATAATAACATTATATTTTTAAAATTTTTTATATATTTTTTAATATTATTGAAAAGTTATTAGAAAAGTTATGTAGATGTGACAGTTATTATGTAGATTTTTTAAATAAGATATATAAATATTCTCTAATATGTAGATGTTTCTTCGCAGCTTTAATAAAAATTTTTTAATTAAATTTAATTAAATCTATTATATGTTACAACATTCACTTTCAGCACAACTTTTGAGCGTATTTCACACAATTACATCGTCTGATTGTGTCTAGGTAATATATCTTTTTTTTTCCAAAAAAGCAGAATGCGTAATACATGCGAAGGTCAATCCCAGAATAATATGTCATTGAAAGTAAGAATAAATACTTTCCTTCTTCAAGTACATTGATATATACGATATTTCTATTAGTTAATTTAAAGAAATTAAAGTAAGACATTTTATTCTATTATGTAATTAAATAGAAAAAAACAGATATAAATTTATATATAATTTATATATAAATCATATAATAATATTAAATAATATGTGAAATAATTTATGCACTTTTAAATTTGCAAAATAACAATTTTAAAAATTTTTCTTTGCTACTTTCTAATACTCCATTATTAAGAAAGATATTCTTGTACAAATATTTCTAGTACAATACTGTAAGAACAATACTGTAAAAAGGGGACATGATTCTTTACGATTCTTTTTTATATCATGTCTCCTCAGTACAAAGTCCATTCCATCTACATAGTCTGATAGATAATTTAGCCTGTATTATTATTATTAGTGTGATTGTCGCATAAGCAGATACGGATGATTCAAAATTATCAAAAGAATTTAAACATCCGGATTCCGTAAAAAAATCTTAGTTCAAAAATCGTCTTATTTAAAAGATTTTTTAAATCCCAAATCTTTAAAATTAACTATTTACTTAGAGTTTTATTATTTTTTTCTGTTATTGATGTAATGCTAATAAATTATATAAATTATATAATTACATAAGAAATTTTACTGTTTTAATTAGTATATAACAATTATATATACACATTTTTTTAAGTATTTTTATTAAATTTATAATAAATTGTTATTAAATAATTTAATTAATCATCGTTAATTGATCTATATATAATATTTAATAATCGAAAATAACTAAGTAAATTCAAGAATAACTAAAAGCAAGAATTTATTTTATAATGTTTATATTTTACTATTAATATTTATTTATTTGTATTTTATTTTTACTACTCCTTTTCCTCAGTTTTATAATAATAAATGATTATTATAAGCGACGTTTCTTAGAATATACACAGATAATAAGTAGTCATTATACTCTAATTTTCTTAAATTATATCAATTTAAAGAAAAATAAATATATATAACAACTAAAAATTGTTAACTTTGATATTGAATCACAAACAAATTTTATTATAATTTATTATAGATAATCAGTTCAAAGTTAAACTATATAATCACAATGATTTCATAATAAGGAGTGATTTGAAGTTGCTTTTATATCTATTCGATTAGATTCCAGAGTCCATAGCATGTATGTACATATAAATACTATTTCGTCTAGACAGTGCGATTTATAGATAAGGTTTATCACGCGGTGCATGAAGAACTGCGTGAGCATCAAATAAGTGTGATACGTCTCGTTCATCTGACCTCAATCGTTTAAATAGTTCTTTCGAAAATTTCGTAATTATTGCGTTGTGATCATAGTTCAATATTTATTAATACGTAAGTATGTTAAATTATTTAAAAATTATTAAAAAATGTATTATTAATAGTACGTAAAGTATTTTTTAAAAGTTTTATAGTATGCTTTATATAAAGTATTATTTACAGTTGAACTGTAAATCAGTATTACACATTGTACGTTTATATAAAAAAATATATATTGTAAACAGTCTTCGCAAATATTAT